GTCGTTACAAAATTTTTCACAAACTGAATTTGAATGAAATTTCAAAGACTTTCTAACTCTCAACTTTCTGAACACGTATCCACATTAGTATATCAATACTGATACGTCAGTGAAGTTTGTTTGACAAATGCATTTCTAACGCGCCAGATAATCGCCTGTGTTTTCAAGCACAGTTCATTTCAGGAGGCGAGCATTTATTTATTTATTTACTTTTTACAAATTTGCTCTTCCTCTTATTCTCTTTCCTCTACTCTGAGCGCCCTGTGCTGTTGGGGAGTTCATGCCGTTAGCTGTATTAAACAGGGGATTAACGCCCGGGGCTCCGGGTCTCTAGTAATAGCAGACGGAAATACTGATCAAAGGCCTCTAACTGTGCCGTGGGTGTCCGGACTGCCTCTGTCTGCTTCTCTGCATTACAAGGAGATGGGGCTTCGGAGGCTGGGGCACACAGGCAGTCAAGCGGTGCAGGAGCTCTCTGTGGACTCACTCCTGATTGGACGGATGAAGGTTGGACCATGCATAATTAAGGCAGGATAACCAGTTCAGAAGAGGGGGGGGGGGGGAATATAGGAGGAGCAGTTGTTGCTGCAGGTGGGTTGCACCGATGACCTAGCAGCCAAGCGTACATGTACAGTACACATGTGTGTGTGTGCACAAGCGTGTGTTTATGCATGTGCAATACCCATCGGGTGCGCACGCTGGGGGGGTCATTCCTTTCCTGCTGCGACCCAGAGGACACGTCTGACACTTCCTCCAGGTTGCCCCACTTCCTTACTGTGTTGACGGGGCCAGTATTCAGCGGCAGGCTGCTCTTATTGGATGCAGTTTTAATCGGGAGCTACAGAAAGGCCTATTGTCAGAGCGTTAGATATACCTGGTGATGGGTTTTGGCTATTAAAGAGGCTGCAACTCAAATAATGCATTACAGTAGCCATTGTTGTATGCTTGAATATAGGAGGCAGTTCGTGTCATAGCTTGTGTTCATTTACTGAATTGATGGGGCTGTAGAATGTGTGTGTGTGCGCTTACAGGTATACGTGTGTAATATGTCACATGTACCAGGACAGTGAGGTCCAATCAGTGTCAGCGAGGAAAGCCTCTACACTTTTTATATTCAGTCCATGCTTAACATCAAGCTATAAGAGGTGCAGGTAATCAGCTCCAGGTCTGCACTGATACATGTCTGCTTTACATCCACTCTCATGTACTTATTGCGGTATATTTAGCTGCAGTCATTAGGGAGTCAGGGGATGCCTGCTTCCTGCAGCAGTTGTAAATGTATTGCCTCTTAACTCTGCCTCATGTGCATGCTCACACAGGCTTACCAGATCTCTCCAACAATAACTGACACCACTACCGATAATAAAACTCTTTAAAAGGCTAAATGAGGATGATTTTTTATTTATTTTTTTGTTATTTACTGTCATATTTTTGAAAATATCTGTGCCGTGCAGATGGAAGTCACATCAGGCATCAAAAGTAAAAACATAAGAGGAGCATTTAAACCCACTTTACATCGGGGGGGGGGGGTGAGCACATTAGAGAATCCTGTTAAGTTTCAAACTTAATTTAAAGCTGCAACGCCACTTTTCAAGTCAAAGTCAACTTTGCTGCATCAATTTGCAAGCTCCTCCATTATTTGCTTCTGGCAGAATCAGCTTTTTCCCAGGTTGGGAGGGGTGTGGGGTGGGAGTGAAGGGAGGAATGGGGGGGGATAAATGCATTTGAGCAACAGAAGCGGAGAAACCTGGAATGAGTGTGAAATAAAGAGCGGGTATGATGAAGGTGGTAAAGGGCCGTGAAAGTAGGCTCCCTGCCGATTGTGCGTAGCGATGAGATGAGGGCCGAGCCCAGTTCTGGCTAATAAGTGTGAGCAAGTGCGGCCAAGAGGCCTCAGCCAGCAGCCACACAACACCTATTATCCGCCTGCCTGCCCCCCAAAAATAAATCCATGTGTTTCCATTTACAGTATTGTTCAAGCTGCGCGTGCGTGTGGGAAGGTTCTTCATTGACACCTCTCTCCTCGTGTCTGTCGCCACTGACAGTCTTTAATAGTCTCGCCGAGGTCAGCCTCCTGCCATGTGTTTGAAGAGTGGGGGCCGAGACGCGACACCCCCCGCAGGAGGAGGACGGGGAGTGAGGAATGTTTCTGTTGCCGCTGTTCCCGTGGCCTGTAATTGTCTGTACGGTCTGTAAAATAGGATAGTAGCGCAAAGGACTGCGCCGTAATGGGCGGGGGGCCAGAAGTTCAGACGGTCACGGGGGGGGGGGGGCACCGACCAAGAAGGCGTGTGCAGAGCCAATGAGAGAGGGAAAAAAAATAGGGATGTTTTGTTTCTTTTTTGCGTTCGTCTACAGGACACGTTGCAAAAGTAGTCCCCCACTACAGCAAAAATGTCTTTTTGTTCATTTAAACAGATCCAGTCATGGGTGGAGGGGCCCTGCTGGTGGCAGCCGCGGTGGTGTAGCTCGGCCCTGACCCCGGTGGATATAATGGTGCAGGGGAAAATGTTCTGTCAGTTGATGGAGGAGCTGCCTGTGGCGGCAGGAAGGAGTGTGGTGACAGGGGCCATGTGTGTTAACCCCTCTCCTTGTCACTTTTTTTGTCTTTCAACCCCCCAACCCTCCTCTCATTTCACCTCACCTTTTTCTCTTGCACCCCTCCTCACCCCCCCCCACCCCCTTTAGTAGACTCCACTCCCTCTACCTACACTCCTCCGTGACAAATTACTCTTGGCGGTTGATTTGTTGGTTGTCAAAAGTGCTCCTCGTGCTGGCATGAAGGTGGGGTGAGCGCGAGAAGAGGGTGCAGCCCCCCCACCCCTCCAGCTGCAGCTCAGTGTTGAGACGTCTCAGTGGAAATTGATATTCTGTCTCATAAGATCTCATTAGATTCGATGTTGTCCATGTTTAATCAGCTCACACATTAGGTTTTCCAGCCCTTCTTTTGACAGGGCTGCTGTGATATGTTCTAGCTCGTGTCAGTAGCGGGAGCCGGGCTTCGGGAGGATCTTTTGTTCCTCGTGGAGGAGGAGCAGAAAATGAAAAATGCCAGCGAGAGATAGACTTTATGACAAAACTCTGGATGCCGGTGGTTTGCGATGGGCCGAGTGGTAGGCAGCAGCTCCTAACAAAGACAGCCGTGTTTTTCTGGATGATCTGACGAGTTTATGGGATGAGCTACTCAGGACACTAATGTATCGTAGTACAGACGCTTTCTGCTTGGGTGTGAACATCAAGATATTTACCGAACAGCATGCATACAGTAGGGATGGGTAATATGGGTGAAATATAAGGTACCGTTAATGTGATACGTGTGATTTAATACTGTGATGTCGGTATGATATGATCAGTTTGGTATAAACTATCCCAATGGGAATCAGCTTATCCAGCCAATGAAATACTTGAGGAATAAGGTATTTACTCACATCGATTCAGAAATCCTAGGAATCCAATACTGCCATAAAGCACTCTGACATAGCCAGCAATGGTATAATACAGCCAGAGAGATTACAGGACAACTACCTGAGTGTCAGCTAGAGCTGCAATGATGAGGAGATGAATCATTTAGTTAATCAACAGGAAATTCAAAAGAAACCGTTTTGAAAGATGAGTGATCGTTTAATTGGATTTCTTTGGTTTTCAGCTTGCCTCATAGTTTCTCTGTTTCTCTGTTTCACACCAGTGAACACCGTTGGGTTTCGGGTTGTCGGTTGGACAATTGAGGCATTTGAAGACGACCTCCCCTTTGACTCTGGGGAACTAGTGACGGCAATGTTTCACTACATCTTGACATTTTAAACATGATCAAAATGACGTTATACAAACAATTGATGGATTAAATGAGGAAATAATTGGCAGATTGATGGACGATGTTGGTTGTAGACTGTACAATCAGAATGTGTGTGCGTGCCCTACTAGCACACAGAGTGGATGGTGTGTGAACGTGTGCAGGCTCTCCCCGGAGTCTTTAACCTTGAAATGTGTCCCGTGAATAGAATGAACACACGGATTTGTCTCGACTCGTAACAACAGGCAAATATTCACCGCCGGCGGCGGCTCGGTCATCAGGTGATTTCTGAAATGTTGTCTGTAGTGTATCAGCGGCACATTCAGCAGGTGACTATTTTGTATTGTGTGATAAATTGACGGTGCGGTCTGTGGAGTGTGTGTGTCAGTCGGATCGGATGCCGTCTGCGGTGACGGCGGTTTAAGCCCGATCCGGGGTGATTTTATTTCATCGTGGGGTGTTTGCCAATTTCAAAAGAAACTCATCTCCTTTCAGTGCCACTTGCGGCTTTATTCACTAACTGTCTCTCTTTTTTTTTTGTGCCGTTTCCTTCTTTTGCAAAAAGTAATAGAATATCAGTTTCCCTTTTCAACCCCGGCTATACAGACACTAGATTGCTTTGTGCGTCACCATCACAACACAGAGGAGAGCATTGCAATCCACTTGTGTTCAAAAGTCTGAAACCATCGTTGCCTCTCTGTCTTTGTGCTAAAAGAGGGGTTAAGCTTTTATCCTATAAATATGGCATGAAAACCCCACTGTCAACGACGCATTCTTTCTAAGGCGCGCATTAACATGAAAACGAGGGCTTGTTATACGCTGAGATTTCAATAAAAAGGACACAAAATGCATTTAATGAAATTCTGATGCTGGGCCCTAGCTCCCTGAATCTCATTAAATGAGCTTTGTGCTGTTTTTCCATCTTCTCTTTGTACAAGAGGTCCTCGAGTGCCCTTAATAATGTGGCAGATTTCATCATATTCCTGATTTAAAGAGGACAATGTCTGTCGTGTTCACTTGTTCTCCTCCATGCCCAAGCCAATCTCCACAGATGTCCCCGCATAGTTTCTGGATCTGGCTCGTGATAATATTTCTTCTTGCGGTGCATTTTTCTGTTTAGTTGCAGCAGTTCTGTTAAGGCTCTCCACTAACCCCATTCTCTCCCTCTTTGTCTCCCCCCCCCCCCTTCTCTGTTTCTCTCTCCACGTAGGATTTGGCTTCATAACTTTTGAGAGTGAGGACGTCGTAGAGAAAGTCTGTGAAATTCATTTTCATGAAATCAATAACAAAATGGTAAGTCCACTCATTTTCTTTTCTTTTTTTTTTCAATTCCAGGTGGGTGTTGAAGGATTAATATTTGATTTCTTCTTTTCCCTGGTATTAATAGCGGAGGAGGTGTGTGTGTGTGTCTGTTCTTGTTTATATGCACAGGCTAACACACACTTATACACACACACACTCACACTCTGTGGGTCTCAGGGATGGGAAAGCAATGGTGTGTACTGCCCACAAACCGTGAAATTGTGTGGCTGAGTTCTGCCTGTCAGGCTGAGGGACGGGAGAGTGGAGCCTGTCCCTCTCTTTCTGAATCCCCTACCACACACACACACACACAGGTGGAGATGTCCAGGGATGCAACAGGGAAGCTACTGGCAGAGGCAGAGTTCATTAGTCAGGGCTTAACACATCCCACGGAGTCCGAGTGCCACTTGTTTTATTTACACCAGTAATAATGGCGTCTCTGAGCACTCTACAGAGTTCAGCAGCAGCCTTCTAAGCCATCGTGTCTCTTATGATAATTGACAGGAACCGAATTCAGCGTAGCGAGTGTGACATTAGTTCCCCCTTCACCCAGCTCCACCCTGCAGGCCTCTCGAGAGAACCTGCATCATTTGAGCGGTTCTGTGGATAGTGATTGACTGGAGGGAATACTTGTCTTACTGCCGTTTCAGTCGGGGCCTCCACACTCTCTCTCTCTCTCTCTCTACCCCCCCCCCACCACCGCCACAGCCTTTTCCCTAAAAACTGACTGACTGGCTATCGGACTGACAGGACCAGCGTAGTAGAACCATGTTCACCAGGGACCAGCCCAGGTGACATATGACCCCAGTATACATCCCTCCGTGTCCCTGCGCTGAATCACAGTCGGTGCTCGGGACGGCAACCGCAACGAGCCGAGAGTGTGACAGAAAAAACCGTAGGCGTGCGGAGGACATTCTGTCACGATCAGACGTCTGAGATCCTTTGACATGTAGGCATGGCACTCTGTGAACACACAGATACCAGGCATCCACGCCAAGCATGAATGCACACGCCAGAGCCTCGATTTATGCACACAAAGCAAAACAGATGCTGCCAAATTTTGATTTCAAAAACTATTTAAGACCTATTTCTGGACAATTAATGGTACAAGAATAACTGTAATAAAGACGTTCGCTACCAACAAATCTGATATCTAACCACCGGAGTAAGTTTTTACATCAAAGCTGTCCCTCTCTGACTTTAACCGTGCAGAAAAATGAGCCTCATTTAAGTCCAACCCACAGCCTATTTATAAGAGCTTCTAATTAGATAGATCTAATTAGATTGGATTGTAAACACTGGGCTTAATTAGGAATGCAAATCTGCTTAACAAATAGTTGGCCCGAGTTAATGTTCAATAATGTAATAATCATTATTTATTCACAAAATGCTTCTTTTTTTAAAATTCTTTAAACATTGGCTATTTTCACAGCAGAGCATTAATTACACAAGGTGTTGATCAGGAATAAAAATGATATTCTAAAGGAAAGATATAATAACGCAGCTGCGCAACATTTTTCGGTCAGTAATCAACAAATCCACGATGTCTCGATTCTGCTCAGGGTGGAACCTTCGTATGTCACAAATAATGTTACTGCGGCACAAACTTTAATAGCTCAGGGGATCTTTGGCATTTCCATTCCACCACAAACCCACCACTCACACTGGAGAGGGCATTATTGGAGCATGTATAGTATAGTATTGATAAACTGCATGTGGGAAAAGCATGTATGCTTTTCCCAGGAATGCATGCTTCCAAACCTGCAAATTTACCAAATCCCACCAGTTGCCTTCCATTCATTCTCTTTCTTTGAACAGGGTGCATCGTGCAGTTGCAATTATCATTATAAAAGGGACATTTTGTAGACAGACATTGGTAGAAAAAGTGCAGGTTATTCATGTTTTTCTTTCATCCTCTGCTCTTGTACATGCCAGCAATATGAAAGCTGTCTCTGATGCTTCATCTAACAGTCCGTGTATATGCGTCTGACTCAACGATGTGTCACAGTCATGACGGTTACTAATATTGTTATCAATATTTAGTCAACCCTTGCTACTGAAGTGACCCCCTTTTTTTGGCTGGAAAGCTTCAAATCTCTTGCACCTGCAGCTGCGACGTGACACGCTGTTGTGCATTGTGACACGTACTTCACGGTGTGCTAGAACACAGAAAACATCGACCGCTAGTTGACTGCAAGATGAGTATTCAGACTGAAGAAAATGACACTTGTGACTCATCCAGGAGTCCCTTAAGTATTGAGAGAGGCACAGTGTAAGGACAGAGCGAGGGACAGTTTGACATGGCTTTTGTCACCTTTTGTAAGAATACCCACTTGGCAACACCTACTGTACATTAGCTTCCCTATAGGATGCAGGAAATATGTGTGTCCCTCCTCTGCAATCGCTGACATCTTGGAATGTCAGCAAAGAGGGAAAGAGCGGGGAGTGTGTTAAAAGCATTTTTCAAAGACACGTCAGGTTTTTACCTCCGTTGTAGAGAGGAGAGTACTGGTTATCCGGTGTCTGGAGCACCGGCACACAAAATAAAAAATGTCTCCTGTCTTCATCCTTATGAAGTACCATACAGAAATAGACCTCATCCATCCTCCCCGCGACTGTTATCTGAGATGGCTCTTGAATAATTGATGCGGACAGAAATTCCACCCCACTTGGGAGGGCGGTGGATGTACAGGGCACCCCCACCTTCTCCTTTGCCCCATCTCTCAAGGGCTCCGGCAGTGTAGTGGGTCAGTGCCTCGCTCAGATGTTGGGGGGGTGGGGGGACTGGACCTTTTTTAGTGACTTGGTCAATCACCCTGTGTTCCATGTGTGCCACCGAGGCCTCACTCTCAGGAGCACTTCCTCTCTGTCACCGTGAGTTCGGCCTCATGTATAATTAAAAACGGGGCGCTGCTTAGCAAGAAGCTCTCAACCTGCCCTGGCCAGCTGCACAGGCTCCTGCATTGCTCTCCCCTCTGCACACCCGTCAAGTACATTTTTATGTATGTCCCCCACAATGTCACAAATCACAAAAGTTTGCCCCAAGGGGCTTAAAGACCGCCATGCTTTAGCAAATGCTGGATGTGATAAAAGTATGGATTGTGCTGCCCTTCACATGAATGTACCGTTCTTTAACCACAGCAGTACCTACTCGTATTAAAACCAGTAAATATTCTGGAGTAAAAAAATCAATAAGCATAAGCTGGCTAACAGTTTATCACACCCTCTGGTTGCCACACATATGAATGTCTTTCTCATACTGTAGTAGGACAGCGCCTTAATACAGCGAAGGGAAGGTTGTGAATTCCATTTCCAGAGACAGGAGTCCCTCTATCACTCCCTGCTCCGCCGTTATGCATGCGCAGCTAATTCATAATAATACCTATCAAGTATTGGCTCTGATGAGCGAGCAGCGTGCCATTAAAATGGACTCACATTGGTTTTAGTCAAGTGCTTCAAGGTAATGTTCTTTAATGTGTCATTTTTAATATTCCAACAGTGGCGAATGATCACAACAGGAGGGAGGAATTCTCTGTTAGTCGTCAGTTTCTCACTGTCTTCCTGACGTGACCGACCAATTACTGCGCTGAGGAGCAGAATAAGCTCCGACTCTGCCAGTCGCTGAGGAAAATACTAGTACGGGTAGGGGCGCATACATCAGCCTTTAATATATGGATACAGATGTACTCGGCTCATTGTATTGATGTAAGCAGAATCGTGAGGGAAAGATAGCATCTCGTAACCCCTACATTATTACGGACGCAGCATTTCTCTTACGACCGCATCATATACTGCATCTTTTCTCCCGTCGGGGGAGCAGAATGAAAGCATTGTTTTCTTTTGAACTTCTCTTAACTTTACTCCCTAATACAGAATACATACTCTGAATGTAAAGTACATCATCGAGTATTTTTAGGACTCAACTCGTATAGGTTTCTTTTAAGATGATACCGATACCCGCAGGCTAACGTAGAAATCCGTAGGAAATGAAATTCCTTTCATAGGTCACAAGATAATGCTGTAAAAGACCCAATTTGATGTTTATGAGAGACACTGACTTGCAGTGTTTTTCAGATTTAAATTGTACATTTTTCTAGAAGCGCTGCACTTACATTCTAACACAATTGAATCATTTTGTGGCTGTGATAAAGGTAGATGATATGTGATCAGCTAACCAAACCTAATTGCTTGTTTTTAGACCGAACTTCTTAGTTTGTGAGGGCCGGCTGTTAAAGTTTACTGCTGGAGGCCGTGAAGCGTGTGTCTGTGTGGCCTGCGCTTAGGTCTTACGTTGTGTAAATCACCCCTGGACACACTTGGTTGTAGCAATAGCATGAACTAGCTATCACAATTTCAAAGGAGAGAAACTGAAGTCTCTGGGCGTTGAAAGTGTCTTTGAAAATGTCTTTTTTTTAAAGTTAAATCTTGAACACTGTTTGAACATCAAGTGCCTAATAAGGAAGAAGGACCACCCTTCGGAGGTGTTTCAGTCCCTCATGGAGTGCTGCTGCCGAACAGGTTCTGCACTGTAAGTAATTGGATGTTTACCCTTCATTGAAGAAGGAAAGCTTTGAGGGATGAAGGAGCTGGAAAATCCACTGCTCACTCTGCACTCCAGGACATCCCATAAAAGATCCACGATGTTCAGATCTGCTGATGAGGAGGTGATGGAAGCATGATGGTCATGGCATCACTTTGTGTCTCTGTGTTTGGGGACAATCTCATCTTGTTGTATAGAAACATGTTAGTGGAACAGTTTTGGCACCACAGGGAGCACCTGGTCCTTAAAATGACCTCGTATTCCTTAGCGTTTACATAACCAATGCAGAGATATCATCAGGCAAAATGACTGCTGTGAGATAGCTGGGCACTGAAGGCATCATTTTGCTTTATCCAAAACTTCTCACCGTTATTATACATCTCCATTCTTTTATGAACCATGAATGCAAGCGTTTCAAAATGGAAGGTCTGCAGCAAATGCCCTCTTTATAACATACTTGACATCACATCTTTTGTTTTGACTGCTTCACTGAGCCATTAAAGTGACTCTCCACCCAAAATCTATCTCTGTTTTTTATCTGATATTGTCCCCTTGGAGGCTTGAAATATTTGTTGTCGGACCTTTAATGGAGAACAAAGGTTCTGGAGCGATATTCACAAAACATGCTTAAGGCTAAAAGTAGCTGCCAGTTGTTAGATCTTTAGAAGTCCCAACTTTTTGACCTGAGAATAATAGGAATACGTATTTTAGCTTCAAAAGTAGGTTCCAAGTCTCAGAGACTGTAGAAGTAATGCAGAGGAGTCCTAAGTCATTAAGATCTGCTCACAATCAGCTGTGGACACAAGACATGGATTGCACAACATTTTATTTAGATTGCTGATGCAATTGAAATATCTCAGTCGTTTGTCAGAATTATTAACCAAACCCAAGAAATATAAAAAACGGTATGTAAAGTCTACTACAACTCAAATTGAATCAAACAAATCAAGCTGGTTTTGAGCCATTGCTGGATGTTTAGGTAAAATTGGAGCCATAAGTAGAAAAGTATGAATACCATATAATTATTTTACTTTGTTTTGGGCATGAAAATGTTTAACATGGCGCCTACCAACCCATTATCGTAGACGTAATGAGTACGTTTGTCCAGGAAACATGATGTCATCCATAGCTAACAGGGTCAACCTCATCCCTTCTCTTATAATAAAAATAATAATAATAATACATTTTATATGTATAGCGCTTTCAAAGATACTCAAAAGCACTTTACATGGTAAAAACAGTTATCTTATGGGTTCTCTCAATTCCTTAGTAAAATAATTGCTCTTAATAGTTAAAAGGACCTTTTGGCACCATACATGACTCTTGCAGCAAAAAATAGGAATCCTTTAGCATAACCCTGTCAAGCATGCATGCCAGCATATGCCATCGCCATATATTCCTTCTCGTAAGGAATAGCTAAAGGACGTGTGTTTTTAAAAAACATAGTTTTAACTCAGTCATTCTGTCCTTTTGAAATCAACCTCTTGTGAGAAGCCTTTTCTTTACGTGAGTAATCCCACACCACCGTGCCTGATATTGTGCATTCAGCGCCGTGACATTTCCTAACTATGCAGTCTGTGTGTTTTGACTGTTCATCTGGGAGTGGGCGCTGGAGTAAATGAATCACACGGTTTGCTTTCTTCAGTCTGCCAGTCTACTGATGGAATCCATTCACTAGTGAAGCTAATAGTAGCCGTAACACCTCCCCCTCTACGCACGCACTCACACACACACTCGCACACACCACACCCACAACACTCCCTGAAGGACAGCCATCGCCAGTCCATCCCACCCACACCTTCCTGTTACACCGACAAGGTTAATATAGGAGATGTATTGAAAAGGTGAAGTGTCTCTCTGCTCTCCATCGTGGGGTTTGCACATTAAAACAAATGCAGTTGTTTGTTCTACTCTTCATCAATGGGCTGTATGACATACTACTACACTCATCAAGTGGCCGAGTGTCTTTGTGTGCACAGAGTACGTGCACCTCATCATTTCAATATCAAGCTTGGTTATTGGCAGATAGAGTTATTTTTGAAAGAATAAGAACCGATTTCATAACCAGAACAAGATGGCAGCAGAACAAAATGAAACATTCTGCAGTGACACTGAAATATTTGAGTTTCCACGATGGGAGCTGGAATGAAATTTATCACTGATTCATCATATTGCTTTTTTGTCTCTCTGAATATAAACGTTTGCCCAAGGACAGGGCGCTGCAAATTAGCTCCAGCACGATCTTTTATATGCGTTTCCCCATTCAACGGTGTTTACACGACACCGTGCAACGCACTAACAAATGAACACAATTGATACGTCTTGAAGCCTTGCGACTAAACTCTTAAGTGGCGTCATTCTAGTTGGAAGACTTAAACAACAATTCAACGTGGTGAGTATGATCATCGGTTGTTATCCACGGGCTCCTGCACAGCATGTCAACATCTGTCTCCGTATTGCACGCATCGTTTTGGGGTCATTTCCTGTCGTTGGTTTGGATTACAGGAAACTGGGCTGCAGGTTGCTTGGACGAGATCCAAGACCCCCCTTTTTAATTTTTTATTTAAACGGCTGCATGCGGCGTGATGGAGTCTGAATGACAGCCCCAATCGCTCAAACTAACACAGTAAAGAGTTCCCAGTTGTGGTAATCGCCAACAGTATTTGGTGAGTGTATACACTCCACTGTTTGGCTTTCCTCCCTCCTCTGACTTCATCTTGGCTTACTGGGTGACACAAATCTCAAAGATAAGACATCGACTGCAGTATGTCAGTGCAGCGGAGTCGGAGAAAAGATCTCGATTTATGTCGAGAGCTCGCAGGTTGAGGTAACCATACCTTGTCAACCCTGTGATGCAGGAATTCACTC